AGTGAGTGAGTGAGTTGGGTTTAAGGCCGCTTTTAACAGTATTCCAGTTACATCACGGCGTGTCAGCTTAATGTGGGAGGAAATCCCCAAGTGATGCAGGTCTCAGACGTTTACCACTTCGGTGAAACCCACGGGCACGGGTTCATTAAGCAAGAAGCTGTCTAGGAATGATGACATGTATGAGCATTACAAAGCAGGTACAAAGTGGTGTACAGAGGCTATGCAGAGAAGGTTCCTGATGATGAAGTATGTATTAATGATGGATCAGTCTGGTACCTCCCTCATCATGTAGTCACCAAGCCAGGGAAATTCAGAATTGTGTTTGACAGCCAAGTGTGGTGGAATCAGCTTTAATTAATCAGTTTATCAAGGTACAGATTTAAGCAATAGGTGTACTGTTGCGCTTCTGTGAGAAAAGGATTGCCATCGCAGGTGATATTGAATCAATGTATCACAGAGTAAAGGTCGCTGATCAACATCGCAATGCATTTAGGTTCCTATATGGTGGAAGAATGGTGAACTAGGTGGGGATATATAGGTCTATAGGATAACATCACATCTATTTGGTGGCATATGGAGCTCCAGTTGTCCAATTATGCACTGAGGAAAGCTGCAGCACACAATGCGGATGATTTTGAGAAAGATACAATTCAGACTGTTACTGACAATTTTTATGTAGATGATTGTCTGAAATCTGTTGATTCCAAGGAGAAAGGTATCAAGTTGATCCTACAGAGGGAAGGTTTTAGGCTCACAAAATGGACCAGTAATAGTAGAACAGTACTCCAGGGTATCCCAGTTGAGGATAGAGTCAAAGAGTTGAAAGACATCAATCTGTGTGATGATGAGCTCCCTCAAGAGAAGGCTCTTGGCGTGAAATGGGACACTGAAACTGATCAGCTTGGTTTTAAATTCCAACAAAAGAATATGCCTGCAACCAAGAGAGGTCTCCTCAGCATACTTACCTCTGTCTATGATCCAAAAAGATTCTTGTCACCACTGATCTTAAAGGCAAAGATGATATTTCAGGATGAATGTCGACTCCAAAAAGGATGGGACACAGCTTTGGAATCAATCAGCCATGAAAGGTGGTCAAACTGGCTGTCTAAGCTGCGTCATATTGAAGACTTCACTGTCCCAAGATGTGTGATTCCGGATGACTTGTGAAATGATGTCTGTTGAATTACACCATTTTGCGGATGCTTCAATAGCAGGATATGGTGCTGTATCATATGTTAGGATCATTGATTCATGTGGAAGAATCCATTGCTCCTTTCAGATGGGGAAGTCGAGATTAGCGCCAATCAAAAGTATCACAATACCAAGGCTTGAACTCTGTGTGGCTGTGCTGAGTGTAAAACTTGATCAAATGCTATGCAAAGAACTGTGAATGGAAACCGAACAATCTACATTTTGGACAGACAACATGATAGTACTACACTACATTAAAAATGATTTACAAAGATACCAAACTTTTGTCGCCAACAGAGTGACACAAATTCGTGAAGGTTCTTTACCACAAAGTTGGTGATATGTCCAATCATCACTCAATCCCGCTGACGACGCATCTCATGGACTTTATGCTGATGAACTACTTGCAAAGGAAAACTTGTTGCAGGGACCGAGCTTCCTATGGGAGAGTAAAGAATCTTGGCAAAAAACACCAACAGTACTTGCTGTGTCAAGAGAGGATTTGGAAGTAAAGATAGTGAAGGTCAACTTTGCAAGTTCTGATAATGTTGAACCATGCACTACAGATCGACTCCTTAGCCGATATTCCTCTTGGTACCACCTCAAGAAAATGGTTGCTTGGATACTGAGACTAAAGCACTGCTTGTTGAAACGAGTCTGAGAGAGAAATTCTGAAGAAAGGAATCCCATGGAACCTCTTGTCGTTTCCGAGATGAAACAAGCTGAAACTGAAATTGTCAGGTACACCCAGAAGCTGGCATTTCGGCTTGAAGTGGAATGTCTTCTAAATGACCACTCCATCACAAAGTCAAGCCCAATTTACTTACTTGAACCATTCCTGAATCAAGATGGAATACTATGTGTAGGAGGGCGTTTGAATAATGCTCCAATATCTGAAGAATCTAAACATCAGATGATCCTACCCAAAGGACATGGTATTGTCACGTTGATTGTTCATTGTTATCATGAACAATTAGGTCATTCAGGGTCTGAGCATGTTCTGTCACATGTAAGACAAAGGTTCGGGGTCATCAGTGCTCGCAGAACAATCAGGAAAGTACTGAAAGTCTGTGTCAAGTGCAAACAATTGCAAGGAAAACGCTCCTATCAGAAAATGGCAAATCTACCCGAAGACAGAGTCACGCCTGGAAAACCACCATTTGCTCACCCAGGTGTGGATTGTTTTGGACCGTTTCTGATCAAACGTCGGAGAAGTGAAGTTAAGCGATGTGGTTGTATCTTTACCTGTTTAACGACAAGAGCTATTCACCTTTAGAAGCTAGACAGCATGGACACGGATTCCTTCATAAATGCTTTGAGGCGGTTTGAAGCACGAAGAGGCGTCCCAGATATAGTACGTTCTGATAATGGAACCAACTTTCGAAGAGCTCAGAAGCAATTAGGAGAAGCAATTCGTGCATGGAATCACCATGAAATCCAGGAACACATGCTACAGAAAGAAATTCATTGGATGTTTAATCCCCCATCTGCCTCTCACATGGGAGGAGTTTGGGAGAGACAGATTAGGACCGTGAGGAAAGTACTGAATGCATTATTGTGTCAATAGTATGGCCTGCATGATGAAGGATTGTCAACATTGTTCTGTGAAGTGGAGGCAATTGTCAACAGTAGGTCAATAACCATCGTATCTGACAGTTCCAGGCATATGGAGCCACTTACGCCAAATCATATATTGTTGCTGAGATCAGGAAATTCCTCACCTCAATAAAGGGTTTTCAGTACATGACACTTACTGCAGGCGCTGGAAGCATGTTCAATTCCTTGCGGACCAGTTCTGGAAGCGATGGCTGAAGGAATACTTACAAGGCTTACAACTCCGTCAAAAGTGGCTACAATCTACAGTGAATCTCAAAGTGGGAGACATAGTGCTACTTGTGAATGAAAATGCTCCAAGATGTGTGTGGCCTCTTGCGAGAATCACAAATGTGTTTCCGGGCAACGATGGTCTAGTTCGATCGGTTGAAGTGAAAACTAGACTAGAAAAAAGACTGTGTTAATAAGGCCAATAAGCAAAGTGTGTCTACTTGAATCAGTTTATGATGCATGAAAGTGATGAAACAAAAGACCACGATGTGAGATGGAAATGAAAACCTGAGCAGTTGAAAATTGAATGTGAAGGACTGATATGAACTTAATATGGAGTAATAATGTTAATTGTTTCACATTTGAGGGGCCGGGAATGTAGGCTACCACTTGTGAGGATAAGTCACGTTTGAGAGCTTCATTTAAGTTCTCTACTTTCTTTGGTTTGTCCTGGTTAATCATCCGGGTTTTAGTCAGTGCATGGACAAGCACGTGGATGTAAACAGAATATGAAATGAACTTGTGTAGAGTGTAATGGGCTCATAAAATTTCTTGTACCTGTCAACAATAGGCCTTACAATTAAAGGGCCAATAAAATAATTTGAAGGAAAGACATAATACGAAATATCGGTCACAATGTTTCAAGACTGAATCAAGAATGTATGAATCAATGAATGTATGAAGTTTAAAATAAACCATTCAAGACAATGTGTCAATGGCCAAAGTGTATCAGATACAGATATCATGAGCATCGATGTAGCTATTTCAATAAAGATTACTATGCAATTGATAAGACTGCGTGAATGTAAAAACCATGAAATTGTATCTCCTTTACTTTAATGCCCTACCCTAGTTTGGAACTTTGTCATGTTTGAAATGTTTTTCTTTAAGAAGATATTGCCCTCGTATAACTGGTAGTTGGTTGGTTGGTTTGTTTGTTGTTTAACGCCGCACTCAGCAATATTCCAGCTATATGACAGCGGTCTGTAAATAGTCGAGTCTGAACCAGACAATCCAGTGATTGATATCATGAGCATCGATCCATGCAATTGGGATCGATGACATGCATCAACCAAGTCAGCGAGCCTGACCACCCAATCCCGTTAGTCGCCTCTTACGACAAGCATAGTCGCCTTTTAAGTCAAGCATGGGTTGCTGAAGACCTACTCTACCCCGGATCTTCACAGGTCGTACAACTGGTAGTGTCACAGTTAGTGTTATAAGTGGTTTGAAGCACTGCTTTATATACACTGCTTATATTATTCCTTGATATTGTGAAAATATAAAACAAATCACTTTTATCGGTGTCTGCATCGTGCATGACCAGTGAGGGAGTTCCACCTGGTTAAACACGGAGTGAGGGCTCAGGCAAACACTCCGGTGTTGCAACGTAAAAGCACATAAGAAACCCAGACTTGTGGTCACGTTGAGATTCGAACTATGATCGTCAAATTCTGAAATGCTATGCTAATATGCAATCTTATCGGCAAGATGCGGCGCCGGAGATGACGAGGACACCCGAGTCCCTCTTATAAAGACACGTTATGACAACGATGAGCATTGTATGAACAGATATTCATTTGCAGACACATAGTTCGGATGTTCCTCATCTGAAGTGAAGTCACTAAGACAAAATTGTTATGGATGAGCAACTTCTTTATTACAATTGGGCGACGTTTCTGTGTAGATTCTAACACCGTTATCAAGCAAATGTTGCTCATCATTTGCTTGATAACGGTGTGAGAATCTACACCGAAACGTCGCCAAATTGTAATAAAGAAGTTGCTCATCCATAACAATTTTGTCTTAGTTACCAATCCGACTTCTAAATGCCACTCAAAGAAGTGAAATGAAGTCCACAACTCCATTTATATGAACATCATGCTCTACGATTATGCTTATGATATATCGTGAAGGAAGTGTATGCCCAGGTTCAACATGTGATTGCTTGTACAATATACAGAGGTAGATATGCATATACTCACGTGACTGGACGTACAGAGCTTGATTCAGCACAAGCAAGACTACCACCCGGCTTATCCATGGTTGAAGTACACCTGTCATCGCTAGAACAGGACAGATACCGTGGTTTAATGTGAAATAGCTCTATGTAATTGTCAACAAGATCAAATCTGTTCTCAAAACATTCAACTCTACAAGATCTCACAAGTTATTCGATGGTAATAATTACTCTTCTTGTAACTTTGTGTTTTGACACAGACACAGGTAACAGGCGCTTTTTAATAACGATGTCCTACCTTCTCTTCTGCTACAGTGTCTCTACAATACAAACGTGCAGTACATCTTAATATTCTCATTATCAATCGCAGACTTATCTCTGTATGATAAATGTTCCTATAAATCAATGTAGGCAGGTGTGCACAGATTAGAGGATAATGTCTGATTAGATACTCGGATTAGTGACGCACTGGGATCAAAATCACAATTCACATATTTCACGTGGCTTAAACCTTTTACGCCTACATTCACGTTTCTGCAACGTAAGCAATATCAGGTTATTATGATGATCTAAAGGTTTTTGACGCATTTGTTTAGTTAGAAGTAACAATGGGTGTTTCTACTCAAGGAGTAATACAATGAATCGCGTAGAGTACGTGTATTACTTATGTGACCCGTGAAGATCCGGGGTAGAGTAGGTCTTCAGCAACCCATGCTTGTCGTAAAAGGCGACTACGCGTGTCGTAAGAGGCGACTAATGGGATCGGGTGGTCAGGCTCGCTGAATTAGTTGCAGCATGTCATCGTATCCCATGGATGGATCGATGCTCATGATGTCAATGACTGGATTGTCTGGTCCAGACTCGATTATTCACAGATCGCCGTCATATAGCTGGAATAGTACGGCGTCAAACAACAAACCACAATTCCTATCTACAGTCAGACAGTCTACGAGGGCTGGCTGAAAAGTTCTAAGCCTAAGTGGGATATCTCAATCGGATTGAAACAAACTTTGGCCACCAACAAGTACAATCATTTAATGAATCATAGACATAAGAACTGCAACTGTAGTGTTATTATTGACTTTGTACCAGACCATCTTGTGAACCTACCAATTGAAATCACCAGAAATGGACAAAACTGGCTGTAGGGCAGTCATCAAGTACCTGCAACTGAAAGGGCTAACTCCAACACAGATACATGCTGACATGGTCTCCACTTTAGGGGATGATGCCCCTTCCTTTTCTACTGTAAAGAAGTGGGCTGCGGAATTCAAGCGTGGCAGAGAGAGCCTTGACGATGACCCGCGTCCAGGAAGGCCTTCAAAAGCAACCATTCCGGAAAACATTACCCGGGTGCATGACATGGTGATTGCTGAGTCGACCATTGGCCACTCGACATATTGTTGTGGGCATCTCTCATGAGAGGGTTGAGCACATTATCACCAACGAGTTGGGAATGACAAAAGTTTCTGCAAGATGGGTGCCAAAGCTCTTGACAGCGGATCAGAAACGTGTCAGATTCCTGACGTCCCGTGACAATTTATGCCGTTTTGAAGCAGATCCCGATGATTTTTTGGCCCGATTTGTAACCACCGATGAAACCTGGATTCATCACTTTCAACCAGAAACCAAATTTCAGTCTAAATATTGGAAGCATCCGGAATCATCAGCCCCTAAAAAGGCAAAGTCGGTTCCTTCTGCTGGAAAGGTGATGGCTTCAGTCTTTTGGGATTCCAAGGGTATTCTGCTGATTGACTATCTTGAAAAAGGGAAGACTATCAATGGAAGATATTATGCTGACCTACTGAGACAGATGCGTGAAGCTATCAAAGCTAAGCGACGGGGAATGCTCACTAAAGGAGTCCTGTTCCACCAAGACAATGCTCCTGTTCACAAATCGGTGGTTGCCATGTTAGCGATCCATGATTGTGGCTTCGAACTCATTGACCATCCCGCTTATTCACCCGATTTGTCCCCGTCAGACTTCCACCTGTTTCCCAAAATGAAAAAGGAACCATCCGGTCGCCATTTTCCTAGTAATGATGACGTAATTTCCGCTGTGAATGACTTTTTTAAGGGTGGCTGAAGACAATTTCTTCTTAAGCGGCATCCAGGCCTTCCAGCAGCGCTGGCAAAAGTGTGTAAACCTGGGAGGGGACTATGTGGGGAAATATATGAAAACCATCGACTTGGTACGGGGCTTTCACAGTTAGGCTTAGAACTTTTCAGCCAGCCCTCGTATATCCATTTCCAATATCCTGTTATGATTAGTGATATATGTTAAGAAACGTGTTCTGAAAAGACATCCTGAGTCCCCTACCAAACATAACAAAAAAGTGGAAACTACAAAGTGTCACAATTTTCGCCCTGAGACACTGGTAGCTATTTCCCCCTTAACGTGATAATTTAATTTTGGCTATTGATCTATCATGTTTACGTACAGTTAATTATTGATCTGCGCCCCGAATTACCTTTAGCCATGGCGTGTTGCCCCCAAAACTATAGACACATGCACTTGCCTGAATGTGATCGTGTGTGTCACAACACTCTTGACTACATTCTCCACCAGGATATTTATAACATATTAAGCAGCGTAAATTGCACCATTGCAACGAATGTGATCATTTATGAAAACTAAATTTTGGACTAAGTTTCAGTGATTTATGATTGTGTTCCTCTCGTGATCATTGGCATTGCCCTGTGAATGGCTGCTTCTTTCTTAGTATTTGAGTAGTTTCTTGCAGTTTACTTTTTTCCAGTGTTTGATGTTCGTATGGAGAACTTTGTTTTGTTGCCAGCTGATAGCGTAGATAGGATGGTCATACTCCCGTTATTGTCGTACATTAATTCAACCTTTTGTAAGTGAGTGAGTATGGTTTTACGCCGCTTTTAGCAACCACCCTCCCCCCCACCCCCCCACCCCCAAACCTTTTGTGAACATATGAGCCTGTGCATGCATATATCCATCAATTCGATACGGGTCGTCTAATGAAGGGCCTCTGAAATATCTATGTAAAGGATAGAGTGGTTGTTATTCATGAATAGATGTCACGTATTCAGTATTTGTCATGTTTCGTTTCAAATGCAAGTGCCGGAAGCAGAGAGTTGTCCAGAGAGACAACGCTGTCGATTTTTTCTTCGGGGTTTCTAATAGATATACCCCAATACCTTCCTCCAGATTTTAGCAATTGTAGTCGCATTAGTAAAATAAAACAAACATGTGCTTGAAATAACCTCAAAATAACCTTAGAAACTTTCAATTCACGTTAGTTTTAAAATAGTATATTCATTATCCGAGGTTCGGGGATTTCGTATGGAAACAAGATATTTGTTTCAGCCTCAGCTGCAAAACCATATATAATTGTACTTAAAACTATGAGCCTTAATATTTAAAAAAATAAAATATTGCAACAATGGTACACTATTACTTTTTTTTCAACAAACTGAAGCATAATTTTTTTTTCATGAATTTTCTGGGACAAATATTTTTGTCGATAAAATCTTTTGATAAATATCTGTGTCATCTCCAGCTAATTGAAGTATCCACACTCGTGTGAAAACAGCAGCATAGCATTCCACGTCCAACATTACCGAGACAAAATTATATTTTATAGGCTTTCTTGGGGGAAACCTTAGCGATTGCACGGAGCATAAACACTCAAGTTCAATAAGAAGAGCCACATAATCCCTAACATTTTAAACAAATGAACTTAGGGGACACGAGTGGTACAGTTGTCTAAGGCGCCGCGATTCGCTTTGCAGAGTCAAATCCCTTGGGCACGCCAGAAACCTATGATTGTGGGTTCGAATCCCAGTTCGCCCCGATTATGTTTCTAGGTTTGTCAGCAACATACCCGTGCTCGTGGGTTTCACCGAAGTGGTAAACGTCTAAGACCTACATCACTTCGGGCTTTCCACCAACATTAAGCTGACAAGCCGTGATATAACTGGAATACTGTTAAAAGCGGAGTTAAACCCAACTCACTCACTCCATTGTCTCTGTGTTTACATCGGAAAGCAAAGTAAACTCCACTTCTAAATTTTCACAAACATAAATTGCAAGTGATTCCATGTCATTTGGTTGGCTTAACAAAGTATTATTTTTTGCGTTTATGCTTAAACCGAATAAACCGAAAACCATATTTAACCCACACAGCCACAAAGTCAGCGGTCTTACCAACTCAGCCACAGAGGGCTAGATCGCTGACTTTGGGTGACACCTAACGCCGCACTCAGCAATATTTAACTTATATGACGGCGCTCTGTAAATCATCGAGTCTGGACCACACAATCCAGTGCTTGATATCATGAGCATCGAGCCACGCAATTGGGATACAATGACATGCATCAACCAAGTCAGCCAACTTGACCAACCGATTCCGTTAGTCGCCTCTTACGACAAGCACAGTCGTTTTTTTACGGCAAACATGGGTGTCAGTGTGTCAGTGTGTATTGTACAAGTGAACCTCGGGCATATCTGCAGCATGGAATTGTAATACAATCTGCAGCAGATGGATCCTCCATTCTTCTATGATCAGTACCGTGGAGCCATTCACCACTATAGCTGTTTGTAGTGGTGATGTCGCCAGTTCCGTTTCCCTTTAATTAGACTGCCTCCGTGGTCCAGTGGTAGAGCGTCCGCCGCGTCATACTATAAGACGTTAAAAGATGGTACTTGTTGTTACCATGTCTGGCGCTCGGCATTAAAGGGCTAAAACAAGGACTGGTCGGCTTGGAGTCAGTATATTGTGTCTGAGTGGGGTATTCATGTTAAACTGCGGCATGGTATCTCAGTGAGCTAGCACTCTAAATCGGCATCAGCCCGGACTAATTCAAGCACACACACACACACACACACATCGCTATATAAGTGCAATAATCTTGGACGCGACGTTAAACCCAATTTCACCCATCTTATCATTAATTTCTCCCACTCATGACCTTGGTATCAACAACCAATCAAAATGCCTCTCCTGAACACCGAGTTCGGCACAAATCGTGGTCTCATTCCCTGACGCAGTTAAGCGAATTACAAGACTCGTACAAATGACGTTTTTCCTGGAAATGATATTTTCCTGAGAGCCAAGACGTGTGAGGCTGCAAGAATTTTCGACAAATCTGTCATGAAAAACAATGTAAATTGATTGGTCGTGCGTATTTTTCGTCTAGTTATTCAAACCAGCCTCGAAACGAAGGTAGCGAATTGGTCGAGGGTATACATCATGCGAGATGCGAGATGCGAGATGCGACAGATGACAATATTCCTAAACATGCCGTCTCGAGGGTACAGACTCTGGATTAGATTGAATGTTCAATGGTACAAGGACGTTACGCCTGCCTTCATGTGTATGGATCCCCAGGTATTCTCCAACGCAAACACACAAGAAGAATTCAATAACAATAAAGGGATTTATGCGGTTTTTATTGATTAATGCATTACAGAACGACCTTGACCTTGAAGTTGACCGAGATCCTGAAAGAGGAAATGATACATTGAGTATATATAAAACTTTCCCTTGAAGTTTTAACGTTGTAATCCTTCAAAAAGTAGACATTTTAACAACGAGACGCAGCTTGAAACAGCAATAATTGTCTTTGAACCATTTCTTATGGCAATATTCTTCACGATATAGGGGCGGTCGGGCAACCTAATGGTTAAAGCGTTCGCTCGTCACGCCGAAGACCCGGGCTCGGTTCCCAACATGGGTACAATGTGTGAAGCCCATTTCTTGTGTCCCCCGCCGTGATATTGCTGGAATATTGCTAAAAGAGGCGTAAAACCATGCTCACTCTTCAAGATATATAAAATACTATTATGATAGATACAAACTGGCAAAGGCAACATGTGTTAAATGTTCGATGAAGCCAGTAGGCGTTTGGTTTGGTTGACTCACTGTGCACTTGTCTGGAAGCTTGTCTAACAGTCTGAAATAATCACAAGAAATCCTCAAAGCAAAGAGTTTGCAATTCAACAGATAGATATAAAATACCTCTTTCTTGATTTACTGATAGCTCACATGATTTATGCACAGGCAGACAGCTACCCAGACTGTGTAGAATTTGTAAAACTGTATTGAAAATCAATATTATAGAGGAATTGTATATGTTTGTTTGTTTATTTGTTGCTTGTTTAACGCCGCACTTTATGTGTATGCCCAGTGTATGAGTTAAGAGACAAATATTTAGATAACTGTTTCTACGACAATCCAAATGTCCACAAATTTGGTACATCAATGACATGCGATTGTTCATCAGAAATTAATTTATGCTTATATATCGTGATACGAAATTAAGAAAGTGTATGGATTTGTAACACAACCCAGAATATGTACTATTTGCCTTTGGCGTCATCGGTACTTTGAATAAAGATTGGTGTGTACTGTCTGTAGATGCAATGTGTTTGTGTGTGCTGATTCACGTATGTATTTAGTTACATGGTTGGTTGGTTGTTTTACACCGCACTCAGCAATATTCCAGCTATATGACGGCGGTCTGTAAATAATCGAGCCTGGACAAGACAATCCAGTGATTGATATCATGAGCATCGATCCACGCAATTGGGATACGATGACATGCATGAGCCAAGTCAGCGAGCCTGACCACCCGATCCCATTAGTCGCCTCTTACTACAACGATAGTCGCCTGATACGGAAAACATGGGTTGCTGACGACCTATTCTACGGATGAACTTTGATTCTTGGCCTACACCCTCCGCGTTGTATGTCTGCTTGCTCAAAACGTATGGACTCAGCAGCCTAGCAATGGTCGCATATTATGATACTCCGTCAATATCATCCTTCTCAATTTCATAGACTCTTATGTCAAAGAGCATGTCATTATCAGGTATACATCATACTCTCAAGGGGCGGTCGAGTAGCCTAGTGGTTAAAGCGTTCGCACGCCACGCCGAAGACCCGTGTTCGATTCCCGACAAGGGTACAATGTGTGAAGCCAAGTATGTTAATACGTGTCCTCCGCCGTGATATTGCTGGAATATTGCTAAAAGCGGCGTAAAACGATACTCACTCACTCACTCACTCACTCACTCAGACTCTCAAACTCAAACGACGCCCATGAGACTGTAGGAACAGTTTGAGACAGCCCATGTTAATACGTTTGTCATTATATCAAAGTAAACTTGTTACCTTTACAATCAGGCGTCAGACACTTGGCTGTTCTCATCTCAAGGGGTCGTCCGGCACAGCCGTTGTTTACGCTACATGTGCGGCGTCGCATCTGATACAGGGAACCCTCCCCACACGTCACGGAGCACGGTCGGGATACGGTCCAGCAGGACCACTCTGTCCAGTTGGCATCGCATTCTGAATAATGCAATACGCGCCATGAATCTTCTTACTGACATAACATCCAAAGTAGAACAAGCATTTTACGATCATAAGTTATGTATACACAGACTAAGGACAGAGATCGGGAAATTGGGTTCTTTGAGTAAATGCTTCAAGATGTACAATTCTATATTCAGGACAGTGCAACAAAATATATCGGCTGGCATTTGTGTTTGTGGTGAGGAGTGAGTATGTTGAATACCTGGTTTCAGTGAATTTTGTTTGTTTGTTTGTATCATGTTTAACGCTGCACTAAGCAACAGCTATATGACGGTCTGTAAATAATCGAGTCTGGACCAAGCAATCCAGTGATTGACATCGTATTGGGATGTGACGAAATACATCAATCAAGTCTGCGAATCTTAGCAACCGACTCCGTCAGTCACCTCAAACGACAAGCACGGGAAGACAAATCCTTGGCCGGATCTTCACGCGATGGTGCATGGGAGCAAGTACGTAACAGAATTGTAACGCGGGGTTGTCGATATAAGGTGACAAGGTCAGTATATACCGATGGTGTTGTGGGTCATTGGTATTGTCAAAAGTCACAAGTAGGGGAATACCCCTAGTAAATATTGTTTGGACAATGTTACCTGGTTCAGCGGTTGTATTTAGATCAGGTGTCGCTGTTGATATAGCAGTGGTTGTATTGCTAGGTTCTGTAGTGGAAGGACTCGTTGTTGTTGTCGAGACCTCCGTTGTTGTTGTCGAGACCTTCGTTGTTGTTGTCGAGACCTTCGTTGTTGTTGTCGAGACCTCCGCTGTTGTCGTAGGTAGCTCTGTGGTTGTCGTCGTGCAGTCTGTCGGACAGGACACGGTTCTGCTGTCCGACGTTATGCAGTTCACTCTGAGGGGATCTCCAAAGTTACTACAAGTTCTTGTCCGTGTGTCCGTTCTGAAACGACTGTCACATGATCCTCCGCACGTACCCTCCACCCAGGCCGACCAATCCGCTGGAACTGCAAGGGGTTACCAAATGGGAATTCACATAATGCTTTATTCCAGATTAATCTAAGTTTGATTCATTTAAAACAACTGTTCGTAAAACGCTTCCACATCTATAGGCGAAATTCAAGGCGCCGCTCATCATTTTGTAAACGAGATGTTTGCCGTGAACACTCCGATATAAGATTTGCAAAATTAAATTTACATGTGCCTCGATATTAAATATCAATATGCCTGATTGTGTCAATAAACTATGAAGTATTCGCAGTTGTTGACATTTATCATTGATAAAAGTGTTTGCGGCAATCTGGGTGCCCATATGTTGTGTTTGTGTCAGAGTGAGTGAGTGAGTGAATGAGTTGGGTTTAACGCCGCTTTTAACAGTATTCCAGTTATATCGCGGCGTGTCAGCTTAATGTGGGAGGAAAGCTCGAAGTGATGCAGGTCTCAGGCGTTTACCACTTCGGTGAAACCCACGAGCACGGGTATGGTGCTGACAAACCTAGAAACATAATCGGGGAGACCCGGGATTCGAACCCACAATCATAGGTTTCTGGCGTGCCCAAGGGACGCAACTCTGCACAGCGAATCGCGGCGCCTTAGACGACTGGGCCACTCGTGCCCCCGTGTTTGTCTCAGAAATGTTTTGCTCTATTCAACAGGAATATATCGTGTAAGGCTTACTATATTTTCTCAGAGTGGACAAGTTGAATAATAGATTGTAAGAGCTGATGAATTCATTTTCTCTGTGTTGACATTAACCCTTTCTTGCTCCGTTTGTTTGTTTGTTTGTTGTTTAAAGGCGCACTCAACAATATTCCAGCTGTATGACGGCGGTCTATAAAATGCGAGTCTGGACCAGACAATCCAGTGATTGATATCATGAGCATCGATCCACGCAACTGGGATACGATGACATGTATCAACCAAGTCAGCGAATCTGACCACCCGATCTCGTTAGTCGCCTCTTACGACAAACACAGTCGCCTTTTGCGGCAAGCATGGGGTGCTGACGACCTATTTTCTACCCCGGACCTTCACGGCTTGCTCCGTTTGGTAACCTATAGATTCAGGAATGTTGAACCTCACCAAAACTTGAAACTGAAACCTTCATGGTGACATGGTAAGGATTATGGGTAAGACATTTAGGCAAGAAGTAGGCATTCCCATGGGGACCATCTGCGACCCCCTTCTTGCTGTTCTGTTTCTTTATGCATTTGAATCAGAATTTCTGCTCGGATTGTCAACGTCAAAACTAGTTAATTTGGCCAAGAAGACTTCGCTTCAGGTATATCGATGATTTGATGTAGTTCAATATCAATCAAACAGCCAACTACCTTCCATTGATTTACGCACCTGAACAAGAAATACAGGAGACCAATGAGACCACTTCATCATTTCAGATTTAGATTGATGCATAAAGATTCAGTGTGACAAAACACAAGATTGTATGACAAGAGGAATGACTTCATTCTTCCGCAACCCATACTTGATCAAGGTTACCACATTCAAGGCCACCTGTGAAGATCCGGGATAGAATAGGTCTTCCGCAACCCATACTTGCCCTAAAAGGAGACTATGCTTGTCGTAAGAGGTGACTAACGGGATCGGGTGATCATGTTCGCTGACTTCGTTTATGTCATCGTGTCACAATTAGTTGGATCGATCTTTGAGGCTGGTGATGTCAATCACTGGATTGTCTGGTTCAGACTCCATTATTTACAGACCGTCGTCAAAAAGCTGGAATATTGCTGTTTGAGACGGGTGGGACAGGATACACTCACCATTTCATGAACACCTGGTCACTTTTTGCTAGTGATTCATAAACACATGCATCAACCAAGTCAGCGAGCCTGACCACCCGATCCTACCTCTAACGACAAACATAGTCGCCTTTTACGGCAAGCATGGGTTGCTGAAGACCTTTTCTACGCCGGACCTTCACGGGTCCTGTAAACACCGATAGCGTGTCATTGACTTAGCTCTTGTGGCGCAATACCTGACCTGTTCAACGATTGTAGAGGTTTTTTCTCCCACGAACACACACTTACTTTGTTTTGGTCCAAGCTCAAGCTCCAGTATTTATTCACTTACCTTGATCATCGTCTGCGATGCTGAAGGTAAGAGAGTCGAAGGTCCCTATGGTTCCAGAAGATGCGCTCTCAATAGTAACAGTGAACGCTTGAGATACCTCTGCGACCTGAATGGTATGGAGCACACCAATACAAACGCTATGGTTTATATAACATTTAGTGACATTGGCATTTCATTAAAACACAACGCCTGTATGTGGTGAATAGTATTTTCCAGCAACAATACCCATAAAATGTCGCTAAATATAACTCAACATAGGAGCTCAGGAACATCTTGTCAGCATATCATGTATCCGGATGCTTGTGATTTAGTTTTTGAAGAACATGATGAGAGTTAGATGCGTGTGTTGCCGTATCACACATAAACGCCGCACTCCGCAATATTCCAGCTATATGACGGCGGTCTGGAAATAATCGAATCTGGACCAGACAATCCAGTGATTGACATCATTAGCATCAATCCACGTAATTGGGATACAGCGACATGCATCAATCAAGTCAGCGAGCCTGACCACCCAATCCCGTTAGTGGCCTTTCACAACAAGCATAGTCGCCTTTTACGGCAGGCGAGGGTTGCTGACGGCCTATTCTAACCCGGATCTTCACGGGTCTTCTACTACTTTCACAAGTTAATAACAACACAAATTGTCAGACCAGTAAAATGTACAAGAACTATTGGATTGTCTTTACATATAATATAATATTGTTTGTTGTTTAATGCCGCACTAAGCAATATTCCAGCTAAAAGACGGCGGTCTGTAAATAATCGAGTCTTGACCTGACAATTCAGAGATTGACATCATGACCATCGCTCTACACGACTGGGTTACGATGCGATGCATCAACCAAGTCAGCGAGCCTGACCACCCGATCCCGTTAGTCGCCTTTTACGGGAAGCATGGGTTGCTGATCACTTATTCCATACCTCGGATCTTCAAAGGTCACAATATTATAATAGTGACACGACATATGGGCTATGTTTTAAAATCACTTGTACCTTTAACTCTTACGAGATAGAACACAATTTGATACAAAAGATTAAAATTGACATGACAGTTAACATTATAATGATATCATAGTTAAAATTGATATGGCAGTAAACATTTTAATGATATCATAGTTAAAATTGATATGGCAGTAAACATTATAATGATATCATAGTTAAAATTGACATGACAGTAAACATTATAATGCTATCATAGTTAAAATCGATATGGCAGTAAACATTATAATGATATCATAGTTAAAATTGACATGACAGTAAACATTATAATGATACCATAGTTAAAATTGATATGGCAGTAAACATTATAATGATACCATAGTTAAAATTGACATGACATTAAACATTACAATGATATCATAGTTAAAATTGATATGGCAGTAAACATTATAATGATATCATAGTTAAAATTGACATGACAGTAAACATTATAATGATATCATAGTTAAAACTGACACGACAGTAAACTCTAAATGATATTATAGGTTAATTCATACTTTAATGCATGTTTGAATACATTACTTTTTTTGCTGTGATTATGTTGTGCTCATTCGTCAATCTTTCAAAATGTGCTTACCGTGTCGTTGATAATTTCAACCGAGACAACAACTTCTGTCACATTTTCTGCAAAGGCTGCAGAAAACGTCCCGACGATGACGGGAACGGGATCCGTGGGGCTTGCTACGGTATAGGTGACGTTGGATTCCTCGGTGCCACCTCCCCTACTGATTGTGACATTAACTTCACCTTGGCCTTCAATGATAGTTCCACTTGCGAAGTTAACCTCAAGATTGAACAGGGAGGCTGCAACACAAGTACCAGTATGTCATGTACCCTCTTTTGTGAAGTAAACCGTGAAGAAAGTTTACTTTACCTTGGTCAGCAACAATTCCTTAAGTTTCCTTCATGTACAGGAAGGAGACGTGAAGTGGCCGTCATATAGCTGGAATATTGTTTGGTGCGGCGTTAAACAAAAAACAAAAACAACATAAAATAGGGTTTACCCTAACACCAGTTTTATAGAGCCAGCAACTGAGATACCAAGGATACCCTACTCGGACAGAGTGTACTGAGCCGACAAGTCCTTGTGTTATGTTCTTATGCCGAGCACCAGACAGGAAAACATCCATCTCCACGTTTTAACGTCTTTTGGTATACCGCGGGATCGAGCTCCGACCTTCGGCTCCTCCGGCAGGCGGGGCGGTGGCGTGGTCTAGTGGTTAGAGCGTTCGCTCGTCACGCCAAAGACCCGGGTTCGATTCCCCTCATGGGTACAATGTGAAAGCCCATTTCTGGTGTACCCCGCCGTGACACTGCTGGAATATTGCCAAAAGCGTTGTAAAACCATACTCACTCACTCACTTCGGGTGGGCTCTCTATCCAATACACCACAGAGACGGTTCAGGGTCAAAGTGGGTTGTTGTGAAAGATTTCACTTATCTCGGGAAATGGTCCAGCTACCTGCCTGTTTTACCGCGGGTCTCATTGCACAATGCGGCCTTAGTCCAACGATCGCCATTTCTCCCGAACTCACACAAAGTTGCGTTGATTTGGGTACACTTAAAGGCGTGATTGTGAGGGATGCATATTTGTTTGAGTTCGATGTTTTCTGCCGAAGTTGTCCTAACTCGTACTTCCCGCCAATAGTAGGAAGAAGAACATGATGGAGAGAGAGAGATGGAGATGGAGAGAGCGCTGCGATTCGCTGTGCATAGTTGCGTCCCTTGGGTACGCCAGAAACCTATGATTGTGGGTTCGAATCCCGGTTCGCCCCGATTATGTTTCTAGGTTTGTCAGCACCATACCCGTGCTCGTGGGTTTCACCGAAGTGGTAGACGTCTGAGACCAGCATCGCTTCGGGCTTTCCTCCCATATTAAGCTGACACGCCGTGATATAACTGGAATACTGTTAAAAGCGGCGTTTAACCCAACTCCCTCACTCACTGTAAACATTGATTAATCATTTAAAATATGATTGTATTCATGTTGAGTTGTAAGGCCAACATAAAGCATCAACGACAGAAACAGTCTCGATTATCCGTCATCGGGCGTAAAAGGCAATAGCAGGGGAAATTATGTGAATGGATCACTAATAATCAGCGATTCCACCAGGTATTTCTGAAAAGGGTTGGCATATCCTACCCTACGGCTAGCACTGGTCAATTTGTTGTTTAACGCCGCACTCAGCAATGTTCCAGCTATATGACGGCGGTCTGTATGTCAATAATCGAGTCTGGACCAGACAATCCAGTGGGTACGATGGCATGCATCAACCAAGTCTGCGAGCCTGACCATCTGATCCTGTTAGTCGCCTCTTGCAACAAACATAGTCGCCTGGTAACGGCAAGCATGGGTTGCTGAAGACCTATTGTACCCCGGATCTTCACGGATGGCGGTAACGCTGTAGTGGCAGACACATATGCGAGGACAGTCTTCCAGCTAAACCAGTGAGTTAGTGAGTGAGTATGGTTTTACGCCGCTTTTAGCAATATTCCAGCGATACCACGGCGGGGGACACCAGAAATGGGCTTTACACATTGTACCCATGTCGGGAATCGAACCCGGGTCTTCGGCGTGACGAGCGAACGCTCTAACCACTAGGCTACCCGACCGCCCCTCCAGCTAAACCAAGAATGGTGAAGGGACATACCTGAACGTGTGGCATGGATCTGTAGTATTACGACGAGAAAGACCAGTAGATTCCCAGGTCTTGCGTTGGCCATAATTCTATAAATCAATAAAAAAACAGTTATCAGAGTATGTTCCATATCCAAAGGCTGCGTCTGGAATAATCAGAACACAAATGACAGTCAGGAAGAGTTTCACCGACTGAACAACGCGAAAAGAAATCTTTCTTCACAACTCTTTTGCTTCATTGACATTATCTATAAAGGTAAATTGGGTGTCTATAAAAAACGTACATCATCAGTTTCGTACAAATAGATTGACAGTTCTGTTGCTACAGTACAAAATATTATTACCAGTAGATTACGAAGAAATAAATATTAAATTTCAACTGATGGCGTTTTAAATTATCCCGACAATTTTTAGAACTAATTAGACTACATGCAGCATATGATTCAATTACCCCTTCGTTTTAGCAAATGCATCAAGCACACAAAAAAATAAAAAATAAAAAAATAGGCTGAAACTTTTCATTTTCATACATAGAGCCCACGAACATATTTACCTTTTTCGTGGGAGCTTGATACAAAACTACGGGATACCTCTCGCCGGATATAGCTGTAGATTCAGGATGGTGGGTATATTATCCTCTTGTACGTGATACGTGTGTACAATTGATATATTCTACACGATGATCCTCGCGTAATGCGTTGTGACACAGTTAATCTGGTGGCTTATTTTGATATATGGGCATTTATCGTTTGAGAGGTATATTGACAAGTGTGATTAATTAATTCCCAGTCATGTAATTGATTGCCCTAGGATTTTTCCAGGTCAATTCAAAAACACTACAGCTGCATGCACAGGTTGAATGATTCAGTGTTTGTTTGTTTGATTGTTTGTTTAATGCTGCACTCAGCAAAATTCCAGCTATATGACGGCGGTATGTAAATAATCGAGTCTGGTACAGTGATTGATATCATGAGCATCGATCCACACAATTGGGATACGATGACATGCATCAACCAAGTCAACGAGTCTGACCACCCGCTCCCGTTTTCCGTCTTAAAAGCTTAGTCGCCTTTTACAGTAAGCATGGGTTGCTGAAGACGTATTCTACACCGGCTCTTTACGGGTCTGAATGATGCGACGATATTTCAGATGTATGAAGTGGATTCAAGAAACAGGCCACAGACCGGTATGGTAACAACATGGAACTATTTAGAAATTCGTTATTATGGATAACCACTGTTGTTTTATTGTATAGTATTCATTATATAGATGTTGCTTGAGAAAAAAAGGAGACAACATAGTGAGTTAAAATTAACCTTCGCATCGGGATTATTTCAGCGTAACAAGGGATGAAGCCTTAGGACAAAACCTGTATGACAAAGGATGGGATATGGTTATTTCTTTCCTTGTTCCGTAGACTCGTGAAAATTCCGGGGTAGAATAGTTCTTCAGCCACCCATGCTTGCCGTAAACGGTGAATATGCTTGTCGTTAGAGGCCACTAACGGGATCGGGTGGTCAGGCTCGCTGACTTGGTTGATGCATGTCATCGTATCCCAATTGCCAGGATGAATGCTCATGATATCAATCACTGGATTGTCTGGTCCAGACTCGATTATTTACAGACCGCCGTCACATAGCTTAAATATTGCTGAGTGCGGCGTTAAACAACAAAACCAACCAACCACGTGCGTGGATCGATGCTCATGATATTAATCACTGGATTGTCTGGTTCAGACTCGATTATTTACAGACCGCCGTCATATAGCTGGAATATTGCTGAGTGCGGCGTTAAACAACAAAACCAACCAACCACTTGCGTGGATCGATGCTCATGATATTAATCACTGGATTGTCTGGTTCAGACTCGATTATTTACAGACCGCCGTCATATAGCTGGAATATTGCTGAGTGCGGCGTTAAACAACAAAACCAACCAACCACTTGCGTGGATCGATGCTCATGATATTAATCACTGGATTGTCTGGTTCAGACTCGATTATTTACAGACCGCCGTCATAAAGCTGGAATATTGCTGAGTGCGGCATTAAACAACAAAACCAACCAACCACTTGCGTGGATCGATGCTCATGATATTAATCACTGGATTGTCTGGTTCAGACTCGATTATTTACAGACCGCCGTCATATAGCTGGAATATTGCTGAGTGCGGCGTTAAACATCAAACCAACCAGCCAATCGTTGTTCCGTGTGTCACTAAACGTGGTGACCATGGTCATACTAACGTCTACATCCTCAAAGGTCCACGTGAAGTTAAAAAATAAAAGAGAAGTTTACTGAGAACACAGTATATGAAATCATTTTGTTCTGTAGGATGAGTCAGAGCTAAAATATTTGCAGACGGGCATGCAGTCAAACATTCGAACTCTTCCCAATGTATGCCAAAACGCCGAGTTAAAGATTAAAGAGTCTAAATGATAAAACACAACATTCCGGTATATATTATTGCTGGGGAATTCCCACGGGTTTCCGAAGAAGGTTGAAGTAGTCCACTTATGAACTTCAGTTTCGCAGTCATTTCAGTCTCCTCCAAGGAATAAGGTAAACTTTACATCAGCTGACAAGGTGGTGGCTTTGGGTTTCTGCAATTCCAAAGAAATCCTACTGGTGGACTACATGTACCTCCCAAAAGGCCATTTCCCAAATTAGACGCATCAGTGACTGAATTGATGTCCGATACAATATCCTATTGTGACTTCCCGTGTCGTAGAAAGTGAATAATTGACGTGCCCTTGCATGTGTTTGTGACGGGTGCCACCGGTGAGGCAGGATACCCTCACCTTTTCGGTGAACACTTAGCACCATCACTATTTGATAGTAATCCATAAACACGGGCTTATACTACAGCCAGAATCGCACAATGCACTTCACTTTTAGCAGATATTTCTTATGATTGTGGAGAAGTTGTTTTCAGAAGTGTCTTCCTTGCAAATGAACAAAGCAACAAATACAGTTACAGTATATGCTATTGAAATAATCACACATGCCTTTTTTGTCCGAATAAGTGCGCTTTTATTCAACAGACTGACTGCAAGGGACTCTATGACTATGGACTATCGAAATGATCTTAATAGGGGCGACAGTTATGAAAGACAGTAGAAACATGGTTAGAAACAAATTATTACTTAAAGGAACACTCGAGTACTTTAAAGCTTAAAAGGGGATTACTACAGGCAGATAGAGCTGATCTGTGATTAAAATGGTGTGAATGTTTGATTAACTATATGCCCCTTGTTGTTACGAGAGACCAGCCAACATATCTCGAACTATCGCTTGAAAATAAATCTAGCGTTTTCCTTCATGGTACAGTCTGTCTTCTCATCAATACCATATCGGCGTCTGAATCCTCCCCACGCGCGGCTGGGTGTCATGGCGGACTTAATACGCTGGAAAATGGAATACATTGGATTTGATAAAGTTCAACGTTATGTCTTAAATCTTACTACTTCATGAAATCATCTATTGTTATACAAAAACTTGGATATAAGTTTGATCTTCGTCATGTGTCATTGCATATTGACTTTGTTGTACAGAGAACAGAACAGTGTAACAGTTCTATAATATGGGTACATACCTGAGCCAACGAGCCTGTTTTCTTGAGGATCTGTATCACCATGGTGATAGGAAGGGGTACTACCGATGACACGGCGATGCACCAACCAATGATGACGGCGAAATGCGGGTAGTCATACCTCCCGTAAGTTGGTGGTTTGTACGACACAATGGTCACCCCCATAGCCACCTACAGCAACAATGACAGTTTGTTCGTTTGCTTGTTTGTTTGTTTGTTGTTTAACGCCGCATCCAGCAGTATTCCATCTATATGCGGCGGTCTGTAAATAATCTAGTTTGGACCAGACAATCCAGTGACGGATATCATGAGCATCGATCCACGCAATTGGAATACGATGACATACATCAACCAAGTCGGCGAGCCTGATAACCCTATCACGTTAGTCGCCTCTCACGACAAGAATGGGTTGCAGAAGACCTATTCTATCCCGGATCTACACGGGTAACAATGACAATCAGTTTAGGACAGGACCTGAAGTGGTTTACGTATACACATGTTATTTAAGCATTGACTGTGTATTTTTTTCGGTTCATTGAGGTATGAATCGAAAAACCGATGTGCAAACTGTATGCATCCGCGTAGCGGATTCTTACAAAAGTTTGCACATCGGTTTTTCGATTCATACCTCAATGAACCGAAACAAATACACAGTCAATGCTTATAATTAAATTCGACAACGTAAAACATGTTTTATCTACAATAGTTTAACCCCAAACAGTTGCATATATAAAAAAATGACGACATTGATAAACATTTCAGGAATACATACAGTGGCGTGACATGAATCAGGTGATCGTTTAATTTATGCACATAACTTGACACGCCTACACAGTCAGTAGCCAATCAACGGAGATCGGGATTAAAACAATGTTCATTGGACCTGTCAATTAAGGCAAGAGGCGAAAAGAACTGCAACAGTGAGACTGTAACGAACCGGAAGAAATATGTCCGAGAGAAGGCGGCTGTTTCAAATAACATGGTCATTTACCGCGTGCCTCAAACATTACTTCCCTGATTACGGTAAAACACAGTTGGAGAAATGCTAGTTATAAATGAAACCCGAAGAAATGAAAGTTGAACCGAGGCGAGCGGGAAAAAAACAGGCGAGCGAGCCTGCACGTTTGCTGTTTCATTCATTCTCGGCCTTCGGTTTCAAAGGGTAGTTTGGACAATGAATATGCATGAAAGTCGCTAAATGTCCTGTGCATGACGATACACGTGAGCAGAAAGGGAATTCCCTCGACTGTAATATTGGGATTCCCCGACATTCCGCAGTAATAAAAGTAGTGCGCCGCGGTGGGCGTTGCTTAATTTTTTACATTCATTGGGAAATGAATGCAATAACACGTGACCAATTCAGCTAATCAGAATGCAGGAATTTCCATGAACACAACGAAAATTTAATTATAACGAGATGAATGCTAGGTACATGTATATCTTTTCTGTCGGTAAACTAATCAGAGCTTAATGTTACAGTTTTGAAGGCGAGCAATTCTGGTGCAATTGTTTGATGCAAATGTGTTTGTGCAGGATACGCTTACCCGGTATCATTGATAGTGATTCATAGGTATAAAGTTCTATCAGTTCTGCACACAGTTTTATCTCATGGGGGGGGGGGGGGGGGGGGAGAGAGAAATTGACTTACCAACAGAAAGACTGGTATGATTACGAAACACAACAGTTTTAAAACAATTGGTAGTCGTTTTCCAATCATTGCCTCCACGTCAACATCGAAACGCTTGATACCTGGTTAACATAGTACCGACAATAACTAAACACTTCAACAATATACATCTTACTACATATTTCAATATACAGTGGAAATAACTGTTACGAAACATGCTTTCTGCTGATAGCGCTTGTGCAGTCTGAAGCAGCATGTGTATGGATTGTATTACAAGATAAGATACAGTGGACAAGCACGTATGTAAAAAAGAGTATCATGATTACTTTACATCTTTTTAGGATATTTTTCTTATATTTCTATAAGGGATTAGTGCTGCAGTTTCTTTTAGTGGATAACGCCCCGAAGTCGAACCAAATCGTATCTTGATTCTGTCCTTGATTTGCCTTGATTATGAATGACCCTTGGTTTGGTGCCATGCGTCTTCCCGAGGCAAGTGAGTTAACTGACTTTAAAAGTCCAGTTTCCACCCTTGCCGAACTAGGCTAGAATTCCTGGGCTCGATCGTAGCGCCACCATTGGCTATTACGAGTTATGTCCCTTCTATGCCACGACGATGGACCTATCAGATTCCACCTCTCATGTCACTTGCATTTGCTTCAAACAAAATGGCGGCGCCCAGTCAAGACGATCTTATCGATAATCAAGATCTATACTGTGATAAAAGGGTTCTTAAGTAGTGAAGTGCATCAAATCACGTCAGCACCTTGATTAAAAACATGAAAAGATTTGAAAAATATCTGTTGACACCGAGTTGGCTGTGCACATGCTTTGCAAATCCTGTAATGGACTAAAATGTGCATCACAGTTTACGAGAGGGTGAGTGAGTGAGTGAGTATGGTTTTACGCCGCTTTTAGCAATATTCCAGCAATATCACGGCAGGGGACACCAGAAATGGGCTTCACACATTGTACCCATGTCGGGAATCGAACCCGGGTCTTCGGCGTGACGAGCCAACGCTTTAACCACTAGGCTACCCGACCGCCCCCACAGTTTACGAACAGCATTTCGATTTCGTTGCGCGATTTTGATTGGACTATGCACAGACTAGTTAGTCCAGCCAAAATGTAACTTCATAATACCAGCCTAGTTCGGCAAGGGTTGAAACAAGACTTTCATAGAGCGTTAACTCTCTTGCCTCGGGAAGATGGGTGTCATGATGCCATCGTGGATTTATCACCAAAGTTTCAGCACCGCTTTTGACTTTTCTGCCACCTGAAGCTGACACGCAGTAATTTACTGGTAACTAAACTACTGTTATGGCATATGTGAGTGAGGGAGTGAGTGAGTGAGTGAGTTTGGTTTTACGCCGCTTTTAGCAATATTCCAGCAATGTCGCGGCGGGGGATACCAGAAATGGGCTTCACACATTGTACCCATGTCGGGATTCGAACCCGGGTCTTCGGCGTGACGAGCGAACGCTTTAACCACTAAGCTACCCGACCGCCCCTGTGAGTGAGTGACCTGGCTGTAACGCCGCTTTGAAGTATTCTAGTCACGTCACGGTATGTCAGCTTAATGTGGAGGAAAGTCCGGAGTGTAGTCTCTCAGACGTTTACCACTTAAGTGAAACCCACGGGCAAACCAAGAAACGTGATCAGGGAATCGAACCCGGTATTCGAACCCGCAATCATATGTTTCTGACATACCCAAGGGACATAAGCTGAGAAACCGCGCGGGTTCACTGATCCCACGAAACTCATCTCAGGGTACACGCATACCCAACCTACCATAGCACCAGCCCACAACCAGACATTCCATCGTTCCGACGACAAAACAGCCAACGGCACCAACATACCAATCACACAACTGGAATATGTACACTCCTGCCTGGAATAATAAGCAAAAAATCAGTGATATTTTGAATGAAATAAAATATTATCTAATATTGCACGTGCAAACCCCCAAATGAAACAGTATGATACGGTATTGTGAACGAATTCCAATAATGCAGACAGATTATCCATCGAATTCGACGTAACACACTCGTCTTAGAAGATGGTGACATGTTAAATCTGAAGTATTGTTGAGAACGCTGTTCAAGGTGATGACATTCACTCCTCCTTTGGGGAAGTGCCTTAAATATCATATATATATTACTTATGTATACTGACCCGTGAAGATCCGGGGTAGAGCAGGTTTTCAGCAATCCATTCTTGCCGTAAAAGGCGACTATGCTTGTCGTGAGAGGCGACTAACGGGATCTGGTGGTCAGGCTCGCTGACTTGGTTGATGCATGTCATCGATACCAATTGCGAGGACAGATGCTCATGATATCAATCACTGGAGTGTCTGGTCCAGACTCGATTATTTTGACCGCCGTCATATAGCTGGAATATTGCTGAGTGCGGCGTTAAACAACAAACCAAAAAGATCTGTGAAGATCCGGGTAAGAGACTATGCTTGTCGTAGGAGGCGACTAACGGGATCGGGTGGTCAGGATCGCTGACTTGGTTGATGCATGTCATTGTATCGATGCTCATGATATCAGACACCTTATTGTCTGGTGCGGACTAGATTATTTGCAGACCGCAATGTAGCTTGAATATTGCTGAATGGGTTAAACAACAAACAAACAAACAAACAAACTCATGCTTATGCATGTGATCAGCATGCACACGAGGACGTGCGTGGGCCACAGAAAGGCGTCACCTACTCACTGATCGCGATACTCACACTTGTGGTGAAAGGAAGCCCGACGAGAAACACAGCTCCCAAGAACACGGCAGCCAGAACAGTCTGGAGGTGTTTCATGTGAAGCCGGCGTGGCCAAATATCTTCTATACACGCAATGGTAGCCTCGATATTTGCAAACTGTTCCAATATAGTATAACAATACATAAATACAGTCGACGTGGCAAACTTATAAGTATTTGATACTGATCTCTCAAACATCCTCAACATTAATTATATCAATAAATGCCCTGAACCCATTCGGTGTCATCGTTTCATTTTGTGTCCGATTCGAAAGGTTCGAGACTAAACATAGACGCCCAATCAAATGACGCGAGAGATGTTCTGTGATAAGTCAGTGAAGGGAGAGATGACGATACTGACGTTATGATAACGAATAGGTCCGGGACATTTATGGTAAAAATGCAGGTATTATACAGAGGACACTGAAGGAAGTTCTCAAGAAAATCTCAACATATCATCATTTCAAAATCCCATTTGGATCGATGCTCATGATATCAATCACTGCATTGTCTGGTCCAGACTCGATTATTTACAGACCGCCGTCATATAGCTGGAATATTGCTGAGTGCGGCGTTAAACAACAAACAAACAAACATAATTTCACAGCAAATTGAATCACCATTGAATCGATGCCCATCATGAGGACCACCAGGAAGAAGAGCAGGGACCACAGCTGGGAGGCCGGCAGCAGCGACACTGCCTCTGGGTACACGATGAACCCAATGCCAGGACCTGTACAGACATCATATCAGTCGTATCAAACATATCATAGCATGTCATATCACGTTATATCGGGGCGGTGGGGTAGCCTAGTGGTAAAAGGGCTCGCTCGTCACGCTGAAGACACGGGTTCGATTCCCCACATGGGCACATTGTGTGAAGCCCATGTCTGGTGTCCCCCGCCGTGATATTGTTGGAATATTGCTAAAAGCGGTGTAACACCAAACTCCTTCGCTCACATTATATCACGTCACGTCATATATTACATGTCCAGATTGTATTAATGGGTAGGCATTAATGTAGTGCGGGAATGGTATGAGCCAATCAACTCCTATCAGACATAATCAGAAATGAATCTGTTGATTGAACGTTGGTATTAGTGACTGTGTTCATTGAAATATTACAATCATAATCCCTGGATAATATTTCAATATGAAGATTAAATAACAGATCTTGGAGAGTGATTATGCTCTGTCGTTTATGTTATAATCGTAAAATAGTGTTTACTTGTTTTGGAGCCATATTGGAATATTTTGTTTGCTGTTTAAGGCCGCACTCAGCAATATTACAGCTATAATGACGGCGGTCTGTGAATAATCGAGTCTGAACCAGACAATGCAGTGATTGGCATCATGAGCATCGATCCACGCAATTGGGATGCGATGACATGCAATAACCAATTCTGCGCCCTCGGTAAATCTGTTGAACTGTGATGGGAACATCCCTAATGCTAAGTAGCCTTTAAATTGACTAATAATTTCCCACCTTCTACATAAGGAGATGAATACCAATCAAGAATGTGGCCTTTGCTGCATTTTAATTTGATTTTGCTTCCCAAACACACTTTAGTATTGTCTAAACTATGTACAATGCATCCATAACTTGATACGTTTTCCCGAACAACCTGCACAAGATGTCTTGGATTTTGTTGATGTGTAATGTCCTGAATGCGTACACCATAAAATGTGAAACCAGTGGAAGAATTGTTTGTATAATTCAATTTACTGTTATTCCCATGCATTGAAGATACCATTTTAAAGGACACGATGCACCAACCAAGTCAGTGGGCCTGACTACCCGATCCCGTTAGTCGCCTTTTAACGGCAAGCATGGGTTGCTGAAGACATACATGTATTCTATCCCGGATCTTCACAGGGCGTATATTGGAATAATTATATGATGGGGATACATGGGGTTGAGGACAGACTCTGATTCCTAACTCACCTGAGGTGATGACATCAGCTACCGGTCGTCCTAGGTCATGCGCCAGGAAACCCACAGTCGCAAATACCACAAACCCGGAAAACACACTTGTCAACTCCGCTATCAGAGGGATTAGGAAAGAATCTCTGCAAACGTGTAACACCCAACATCAAATTTTAGCAAACTACAAACATCCACCATACGTTAGACATTTATTAGTCATATAAATTTAAATGGATCAGCTTGAACAAATACACAGATATGTTCCCTAATTGACTGAAACAGCATAGCACGTTTCTGAGATAAGTACATACAGTATAATACAATGTTAGATTTTCCAAAAGAGCTACTTTGTGTGATTTGTTTGTTTATTTGTTGTTTAACGCCGCATCACCATATTCCAGATATATGACAGCGGTCTATAAATAATCGAGCCTGGACCGGACAATCAAGTGATTGACATAATGCGCATCCTTACACGCAATCGGGATACGACGACATGCATCAACCAAGTCAGCGGGCCTGGCAACCCGATCCCGTTGGTCGCCTCTTACGACAAGCACAGTCGCCGTTTACAGCAAGAATGGGTTACTGAAGACCTATTCTTAACCGGATCTTCACGGGTATATAGCGTTCAGAAGAGTTACCCAACCTGACAATGTTGTTATGGGGAGAGTTGTGGCTTGTCAAGGTGATAATAGTGCCCCACGCAGGACCCACAGAGAAGAACACTTGAAGAAGTCCTTCCAACCACACCTGTGGAAATAAAACCGTGGGATGTGCAGCTCTTGTTACCATGACGACATTCACAGACGTGTATCCGAGAGGAAGAAGAATATACATCGAAATAACACAAGTAACTTTACGATACACCTGCACAGCATATAGATACATGTATCAATAAACAGTATGACCACCACATGGATTATTTACAGACCGCCGTCATATAGCTGGAATATTGCTGAATGCGGCGTTAAACAACAAATAAACAAAACCACCACATGAACATTAATTTCAAATGAAACGAAGAATAATCAAGAGATGCATAATAAATATCTATCACAACTTTTTTTCCATTGTTGGAAATGTTTGAGACGGCAGGTAGCATATATCCATCCAGTTCTGCACATGAAATGACTTCTCACCTTATCATAACTTGATAACTACTTACCTGTGAGTGTTGAAGACGGTTAAAATCTGGAGTAATGTAATACATAATCCCTTCCATTGAACCCGGCTGCATGCACGCCCTCACCAGCAGCACCGGCAACAATATGTAGGGCATCAACGTCGTCACATATACAACCTGTTGATACATATACTTTTTGTTAAATGGCTGTACGTGGGCCCCTAAACAGATTTGTTTGTTTGTTTGTTGTTTAAGGCCGCACGCAGCAATATTCCAGCTATATGACGGCGGCCTATTAAATAATCGAGTCTGGACCAGAAAATCCAGTGATTGACATCATGAGCATCGATCCACATAATTGGGATGCGATGACATGCAATAACCAATTCTGCGCCCTCGGTAAATCTGTTAAAAACGGGTAAACTCGGTAAAACTGTGATGGGAACATCCCTGATGCTAAGTATCTTTTAAATTGACTAATAATTTCCCACCTTCTACATAAGGAGATGAATACCAATCAAGAATGTGGCCTTTGCTGCATTTTAATTTGATTTTGCTTCCCAAACACACTTTAGTATTGTCTAAACTATGTACAAAGCATCCATAACTTGATACGTTTTCCCGAACAACCTGCACAAGATGTCTTGGATTTTGTTGATGTTTAATGTCCTGAATGCGTGCACCATAAAATGTGAAACCAGTTGAAGAATTGTTTGTATAATTCAATTTACTGTTATTCCCATGCATTTTAAAGGAAACTTAAGTATACGTGTGCTTATAATCACTATTCAACATGAATTATGATTGGTTTGTTGGTTTGTTGTTTCACGTCCAGACTCGATTATTTACAGACCGCCGTCATACAGCTGGAATATTGCTGAGTGCGGCGTGAAACAACAAACCAACCAACGAACCCATTGCGTTGATCGATGCTCATGATGTCAATTACTGGATTGTCTGGTCCAGATTAGACTATTTACAGACCGCCGTCATACAGCTGGAATATTGCTAAGGATGGCGTTAAACAACAAACAAACAAAACATTGTGCATGAAGAATATGGAAGGGACAGCAACACACAGAGTACACAAGATGGATATGAAGACATTAAAGAAGAAAGTGTTTCAGAACATGCGGGGGTAGTCGCTGCAGATGTTGGTGTTGGTGTTGGTGGTAGCATTGACAGCACTGATGACACTGATGACATGGAGCCACACCTGTGTTGGGCAACGTCCTCATTGTTTCTGCGTACAGTGTGCAACAGAACATAGGCAAAGGACAGCCCCTTGAGAAAGTCGAAGTACAAGAAGCTTTGAACAATGCTGAATGACAGAGGAGCTTGGAAAATAAATCATTATCAGATAAAGAAAACTCGCATTCTTGGCCTGGCAGACACAAGAGGTGAAATAGTGTGGTAGAGGAGGATTGTGGACAGGGAAAAAATGCCAGACATCTGGTTTGTGGATTTCGCCCAAATCCACCTGGTTTTGAATACATGGGACACACATGGCAGTAACAATTATCTCATTTCAGATAAATTTCATAATCAAGTAAAAGCCTTCTCATTACTTCCCAGCTTGCGACCACTGTACCGCTAATATGCCAGAAAAACCTGCCAAGGCCGTCGGGGCAGATTTCCGCCATATTCTGCAAAAGGACAGCCCCAGCTTATACACATAACCTCTGGCACATGAACTTTGACTCTGCTATTCAAATACTCAACAACTGTTAACATTCACAGAGTGAGTGAGTGAGAATGGTTTAACGCCGCTTTTAGCAATATTCCAGCAATATCACGGCGGGGGACACCATAAATTGGCCTCACACATTGTACCCATGTCTGGAATCGAACTCGGGTCTTCGGCGTGACGAGCGAACGCTTTAACCACTAGGCTACCCGACCGCCCCTTAAACATTCAAAGAGAGCAGCTGAACTATTTGTCAAAGCTACAAAACTGTGTGTTTGTTTTTGACAAAAGTTTGCATGCTTAATCACACTGTCACCAGCTCCATCTTCATTTGCCACTCTACATTTGTGAATTCTCGTGAAATCTCGCACTATTTGCAATGCAGTTTCAGATTTAAACATAAGAAAGCAGACGTCTTTGACCAAATACTGTAGTTACTCTGCATGTTTGTTTGCACCAAACAAGGGGCTTTATAGATTATTCCCAATTTGGAAATCGAACCCGGAGATTGGGCGTGACATACTAATGCTTTAACCACTAGGACTGCCTCCGTGGTCTAGTGGTAGAGCGTCCGCCCGGAGAGCGGAAGGTTCGGAGTTCGATCCCCGGCCGCGTCATACAAAAAGACGTTTAAAGATGGTATTTGTTGTTACCCTGTCTGGCGCTCGGCATTAAGGGGCTAAAACAAGGACTGGTCGGCTCGGAGTCAGTATACTGTGTCTGAGTAGGGTATTCATGTTAAACTGCGGCATGGTATCTCAGTGAGCTAGCACTATTAATCGGCATCAGTCCGGACTAGTACAAGCAGCCACACAAACACACACACGTACGTTCACGTCGCTATATAAGTGCAATAATCTTGGACGCGACGTTAAACCCCATTTCACCTCACCTCACCTTTAACCACTAGTTACACAACCTCGTTGAAATAGCTCTTCTATCATTATATTTTGTCACATCTATACCATTCTGATTGAGGTTTTCCATTATTCAAGACGGACATGAGTATGGGTTTACTCCGCTTTCAGCAAGAGTCCAGCCTTTCACGGAGGCGGGATACGAGGCGGACATCATCGAGCTTCACACATTGTGTCAAAGTATGGGACACCACAAGGGATATGTCTTACAAAAGTGAGTGAGAGAGTTGGGTTAGAAGCCGCTTTTAACAGTATTCCAGTATATCGCGGTGTGTCATCTTAATATTGGAGGAAAGCCCGAAGTGATGCAGGTCTCAGATGTTTACCACTTCGGTGAAACCCACGAGCACGGGTATCGTGCTGACAAACCTAGAAACATAATCGGGGCGAACTGGGATTCGATCCCACAATCATTTCTGGCGTGCCCAAGGGACGCAACTCTGCACAGCGAATCGCGGCGCATTAGACGACTGGGCCACCCGTCCCCCCTTTTTACTAAAGAGATACGATAGATAAATGTTGGTTCACATTATTAACTATACCTTGCCAATAGATCGAATTCCTTTCATGATGCAAAGAAACATCAACACGCATGTAATAAACCAGCAGACAAGAAGATGAAGCTGAACAGGGCCAACATCATCTAGCCCGGAGGAGATTCCCAGCACTTTGTTTCTAAAACAGTCAGTCAGTTTAAATTCACATTTCCTTGATATACAAACCTGTCGACAAAATGACAGTAAAGAATATCCAGTAACATGCCAGAGGTCTGTATTCAAACTGTCACGAGGACAATTAATAGATTAATAGACTATTACATAAAGACTAAATTGCACGATCGGGCTAAAGACCGTCAGAATCCAAAGTTCAGTAACCCTCCTTGAGACCATGGCACAGTACGTAATAAAAGCAAAAAAAGCCCTTTCAATATTCAGATGAAATCTCTGCCAAATTCTGAGTTGATTGTACGATGCCGTCTATATCAGGTGCATGTGTTAATGGTTCTCTTTGACAAAGTCAAATGAATGATTTCAATGTTAATGCGAAACCATACACAGAAATAGTGTATATTCTTTGATTCGTGCATATGTAAGTCTAAAACGTAATATTTGTTCCAATAATAGATATAAACTTACTGCCAGAATTCCTCTGCTGCTGTATGTCCAAGTACCGTGATCAACCCATGGTCATGGGATACATTGGCGTCACCATACGTGTCTGTGAGAGCTGATGCTGATCTGTTTATGCTGATGGCACCTACATCTGCCGATACGTTCGCGCCACGTCTTAAATCACCAACAGCCACACACTGGGGTGTGTTCCATGAGTTGCCACAGGTGGTCCAGGGCAGGACGGTGGAGAATGAGCTGTAGAAGTAGTAGAGGGCCCAGGCTAACAACATGCTGAGGTACGGGATGCAGTTGCAGCTGAGAGTCATGATACAAATTCCAATACCTGCATATATGTAGAGCAAATGCTATCATTCTATGTATGGGTGTGTGTTTACATTTAAACGTGACATATTATCGCATCAGTTATGAAGTTGGAATTTAAATGATTAAAATTCATAGAAGCCTCACTGTATCAGTGGCACAATGAAGTAAATGTGAGAGATGCTGAATTGATATCGTGTGTTTCTTATGACTATGATGATGGTTTTGTTTCTATTTGAACTTTGTTAAACCTAACGTGAGCCTTTTCACTAGAATGAGTGAGTGAGTTCAGTATTTCAGTTTTACCTGTTTTTAGAACTCACAAGCACGGGTATGGTGTTGAGAAACCTTGAAAAAAACACTTCTGTGCGTACACATGGGACGCAACTCTGCACAGCGAATTGCAGCGCCTTAGAGGACAGGGCCACTCATGCCCACTTTTCACAAGAAGTGAATATATTCACATATATAATAAACAATGGCCATTACTTGCCATGACCTGTCATTTGCCAGAAGGCCTCATCGAGTTCGACAACGTATGGATGCTCACTTGGGGAAAACACATGTAAGTTTAAGACGGGTCTTAACGTGAAATGTCTCTTCATAAGAAAGTCATATGCATTTCGAGATTTGGAAAACGTCTGAGACCTGCATCACTTCGGGTTTTCCTCCAACATTAAGCTGATATGCCGTGATATAACCGGCGTTAAACCCAACTCACTCACTTACTATAAGCTGTTTGAAGTCTGTCATACTGACCTTTCATCAGTGGACACATCGCCCACACTCCAATTGGACCTTGACGGGAAAATTGACCAAGAGACGCCTCCAAGAAGAACAGTGGAATGGCCACGATGATGGTGAAGAACATGTGGGGGATGAGAAACGCACCTGCAACAATACCAATAAGATACATCTAGGTATTCTTGTACATGCTTCTTTGGTCTCAATATTGTGATAACAGAGGCACCAAATGTTGAAATTGTATCGAAAATTCTTGTAGTTGATGTTTACTGATCTATGTAATCTGACAAATCAATGTTAAACAAATGTTAACATTTTAGGACCGACGGCCATACTTATTATCAAATCATGCTTTGAAACAAGTAATAATCATCATTATTTAAACTGTCCAATGATCATGATCAATATGTACAAATATACTTCTGTGTAATTGTGACTTCACTTCGTTCTCCCATTATTTCATCATTTGTAATAAAATTTAGACCGTAAGCGCCAGAGAAGAACCTGTCTCGGTTATCCCACAAAACAGATTCCACTAGGTTTAAAATGTATAACAAAGGTGAAAATAACATGAATGGATCACTGACAATCAGATGTCCTGCCGCACCGGTAGCACCATCCACTCACAGAGTTTATGCGTGTACAGACCACCATTACATTGTGCGTGTACAGACCACCATTACTTTGTGCGTGTACAGACCACCATTACATTGTGCGTGTACAGACCACCATTACATTGTGCGTGTACAGACCACCATAACATTGTGCGTGTACAGACCACCATTACATTGTGCGTGTACAGATCAACATTACATTGTGCGTGTACAGATCAACCTTATATTGTGCGTATACAGACCAACATTACTTTGATCTTGTACAGACCAACATTACATTGTGCGTGTACAGACCAACATTACATTGTGCGTGTACAGACAAGCGCATTTTAATTATATTTGATAAAAAAAGACAAATTCATGTTAAGTAATGTTCAACGCATGGCAGAAAAAGAACAATGAACATCAGATACAGCATACCATCTGACCTGATTCTTATTCGTTTGCGTAAAAATAAATTAGCTACCATGAAACATAGTAAGTAACATGTTAATATTTGAAGTATTGGTATGTTACAAACTTAAATATTTTGTTATATTTGAAGTATTGGTATGTTACAAACTTAAATATTTTGTTATATTTGAAGTATTGGTATGTTGTAAACTTAAATATTTTGTTATATTTGAAGTATTGGTATGTTACAAACTTAAATATTTTGTTATATTTGAAGTATTGGTATGTTGTAAACTTAAATATTTTGTTATATTTGAAGTATTGGTATGTTGTAAACTTAAATATTTTGTTATATTTGAAGTATTGGTATGTTACAAACTTAAATATTTTGTTATATTTGAAGTATTGGTATGTTGTAAACTTAAATATTTTGTTATATTTGAAGTATTGGTATGTTGTAAACTTAAATATTTTGTTATATTTGAAGTATTGGTATGTTACAAACTTAAATATTTTGTTATATTTGAAGTATTGGTATGTTACAAACTTAAATATTTTGTTATATTTGAAGTATTGGTATGTTGTAAACTTAAATGTTTTGTTATATTTGAAGTATTGGTATGTTGTAAACTTAAATATTTTGTTATATTTGAAGTATTGGTATTTTACAAACTTAAATATTTTGTTATATTTGAAGTATTGGTATGTTACAAACTTAAATATTTTGTTATATTTGAAGTATTGGTATGTTGTAAACTTAAATATTTTGTTATATTTGAAGTATTGGGATGTTACAAACTTAAATATTTTGTTATATTTGAAGTATTGGTATGTTACAAACTTAAATATTTTGTTATATTTGAAGTATTGGAATGTTGTAAACGTAATATGGTTACTGAGTTTAATTTAGATTTAACCTTGGAACAAACGAGTTTCTTCAGGATAGATCTGCGTCTCTTTATCTTGCAAATTGGTCTCTGAGATGACAGGCATGAGCCCGCCGCACTTGTCAAGTGTAACTAACTTCCAGCACGTTCTACACAGTACTAGAACAGTCCAGTGTCATTAGTAACATCCATGCTATTCGGAAGCTGACAGATAATTCGGGCATCTAAATATAATAATATCCTCCTCACTGCTTACATTATATAGTACTACATTCCTGACAACGAACCATTGTCGAAATACAATTCAGTGAACATCTACTGAATCTCAACAGAAACAATGTAATACAATTACAATTATTGTACGACAATAAGTTACACTGCCATATAACACTGATATTAGTCTAGAGCAGAAGCTTGACTGCAACGATGATGATAAGGCTAGCTTAGCCCTTTGCTACAACGTGCACGTCTGAACATGTGTATATGTGATGTGAGAGATGTGATGTGATTGTATCAACCGCGGAATTCGTGTCCGGAAATGTCTGTAAATCCGATCATAACATTCATGACAAGGGTGCATTTGCATACGACAATAAACAATAGTTATGTGTCACAAAGGTGTACCTCCAAATGAAATAACCACCCAAACTTTATTCACACTGGAAATCATCACACGCAAATCCAACTGTATTTGCGTTTGTGTCACCGGTGTAAAATCGTCTTTTGGTCCCATTGCTAATCTCTTTTCTTTGGAGATAATGCAACCCCGATCGGTAGGTCAGGTTCGATGACTTGTATCATCATTCTCCGACGGGGTGGATAGGTTATCATAACATCAACCACTTAATTGTCTGGCCGAGACTCGATGAATTACAGGCCGTCATCAGTTGGAATATCGCTGAGTGTGGCGTCAAAACAAAACAAAACAAAACATGTGTCATGTTCTGAGCTTCGAGCTTTGATGTAGTTATGTGGTTGTGATAATAAGTGAGGGCTTACCTCCACCGTTTCTTTGACAGACATAAGGGAACCGCCACAGGTTTGGCAGACCCACTGAATAGCCCAGAAGAGCAATGGTACTCTGGAACTTGTTGGACCATTGTGCCTTTGCCATAGTTTCCCCTTTATACTGCTCACTGGTACTCTCCTGGAGAGGCACAATGTCGACCTGCTCTTTACCAATCATTGTTGCAATATGGCTGCAGACAGCTCGACACTTTAAGCATCGCTAATTATTCAGGCAGTAATTAGGTCATCAGAAACGATAAATTGTAATGAGACACCAGCGGGTAATGAAATTGAAATCGGTTGAATACAGTGAAATAAAATATAAGTGCTTTCTCTTGAAGGTAACGCCAGATGTAAAGGGAGGTTATTCAAGGTTGGGTGCGCTACCGGAAGGGATATACATAGCCCGGGTACTTCAGTCTCTTCTGTGGTGTCGCCGTTACATTGCCGTCTGTTTATTCTCGTTATTAACTTTGCCACGTGTTTCTGTCACCATCTTATTATGGAGCCATCCTCAGACATAAACAAGAAACTTGATAGTTTTCTACCACAGTTATCCACATCTCAAGAAGAAATTGACAGGTCTGCTGATTATAAACCTGTTAATTTACAAGATAACATGGTTCGAATAGCGGCAGAAATTGAGAACCTCAAAACTGAAGAATAATCAATTGCGTATGGTAACAGGAAGGGCACCGATTTCAGTAACATTTCAATTCAGAGACCCTTAAAAATTGGAAGCAAATGACATTTGCTGTTTCTTACTCAAATTTGGACTACTTGCGCCGAGGTCTCACGCATTGAGCGTAGAAATATGCTGATGAAGCTAGCCGACTCATCAGATGAAGGTGGGAGACGGTCCGCCAATATGATTGTAATGAACTTGCTGATGATTCTACGGATGATTGGCGTATTTCTAGAGCGCAAACCAAAGCTATCAAGAAATTGGACAAAAAGAAGTCAAATCATCAAGACATGCCCTAACAAATTTGCAAGACTAACAGCGACTGTTACGCAGGCTACGTTTGGGGACGGGGCTTATCCAGCCAAACTCTTTCAAGGACGTCTTTTTGGCTCGAGACTTTGGAGCGGCACGTGTTTTAAGTGCGGAGAACTCACCAACATTCGTCACCACTCGCATGTTTCCGTAATCTGTAACAAGGCTCGTCCCCAACTCGAAGGCGCAAGCCAATCCGAATGCGCGTCAGGATATGGGTACTTCGATCAATTTAATCCCGAGTTATTTCTTTTTGGCAATATATCGATCCACGCAATTGGGACCGATGACATGCATCAACTAAGTCAGCGAGCCTGACCACCCGGACCAGTTAATCGCCTTTTACGATAAGCATAGTCGCCTTTTACGGCAAGCATGGGTTGCTGAATACCTATTCTACCCCGGATCTTTACGGGTCATATTATCAAGGGGGTATTGGGGGGTCCGTCTGTCCGTCTGTCACATTTCGTTTCCCGAGAAAAACACGAAAACCATGAGAGATATCTTAACCAAACCTGGCACATAGATAGGTCTAGTGGTGAACTGGTGCCTTTTGATAGTTTGGGATTTTGGAGAAAAAAATCTTTTCGAGTTTCCCTTGCAACGACTTTGACTTGCTCGTTTCCGGAGCGCTAGCAGATCTTGAAAACCGTACACTATTTCTTCACCAAACTTGGCACATAATAGGTGCCTTTTGATAGTTTGGGGTTTTAAAAAAATTAATTTTTTGAAGTTTCCCTTGCAACGACTTTGACTTGGACTGAAAATGGCGGAAGTGCTCGTTTCCGGAGCAGATCTTGAAAACCGTACATTATTTCTTCACCAAACTTGGCACATAACTGGTGCCTTTTGATAGTTTGGGATTTTAAAAAACCTTTCGAGTTTCCATGGCAACGACTTTAACTTAGACTGTAAATGGCGGGAGTGCTTATTTCCGGAGCAGATCTTGAAAACCGTACACTATTTCTTCACCAAACTTGGCACATAATTGGTGCCTTTTGATAGTTTGGGATTTTAAAAAAATAATTTTTTTCGAGTTTCCCTGGCAACGAATTTGACTTAGACTGAAAATGGCGGTAGTGCTCGTTTCCGGAGGAGATCTTGAAAACCGTGCAATATTTCTTCACCAAACTTGGCACATACAGAGGTCCAGTGGTAAACTGGTGCCTTTTGATAGTTTGGGATTTTGGATAAAAAATCTTTTCGAGTTTCCCTGGCAACGACTTTGACTTAGACTGAAAATGGCACTGTAATCATTGATGTGTGTTTCTGTGAAGCATGCGTTGAAGTAATTAATCACAGATTCCAAAACAAATTATTCATTTACCTATGAAATCACATTGTGATATTGTGTTACGAATATTTGGCCATTTGCTATTTTTGCAGATTTGATTGTGAAAGACAAAGGTAGTCAATGCTCCAATAAAGACATAAAAAACAAAAGAAATTAACTTTCATACCGATTGATAAAATACATGTTATACTGAAATAATACAATTTGTAAAGTGGACATGAAACTAAATAGAGATCGCTGAAGTTGCTCAGGTCATTCATATTTTTCATGCCAAACGTTGATGGACCATGTCAAAGGTATGTTTGTTTGTTTGTTTGTTTGTTTGTTTGTTGGTTAAAGCGGCACTCAGCAATATTCAAGCTATATGACGGCGCTCTGTAAATACTCGAATCTGGACAAGACAATCCAGTGATTGACATCATGAGCATCAATCCACGCAATTGGGATACGATGACATGCATCAACCAAGTCAGCGTGCCTGACCACCAGATCCCGTTAGTCGCCTCTTACGATAAGCGTAGTCTCCTGTAACTGCAAACATGGGTTGCTGAAGACCTATTCTACCCCGGTTCTTCACGGGTCACAAGAAATATGGAGACATGATGTTTGTTGGTTTGTTGTTTTACACCGCACTCAGCAATATTCCAGCTATATGACGGCGGTCTGTAAATAATCGAGTCCGGACCAGACAATCCAGTTATCAATATCATGAGCAACGACACACGCAACTGGGATCGATGACATGCATCAACCAAGTCAGCGAGCCTGACCACCCGATCCCATCCCCTAAATCATTATATAGTGAGATTAAAGAACTGGTATACAATTACAAGGGCCTATCATTTTACAAACATACCATTACATTACTGGTATTACATTTTGCACTTACTGTATACCATGAGCATCAATTTAAGCATATATTACAAACCACAATCATACATATCAGTTGCTAGGGCAGAATATAGTTAAAGCTTGCTGAGTTTGGAATGTGCACCAAATGATAGCTTTTATTAAATACATGTAGCTTTTAATTGGGATTCGTCAGACATTGCTTGGGGTTATAAATTTAATGTACACCAGCTTGCACACTGACAAATAAAGAGACAAGCCAGTTCTATAACTAGTGCTTGAACCGTCATGGGGCCTGGCCGTCAGCTGGCTTTGCATACCACTCAGTGCCGCAGTTTCAAAACGTATACATTGTAGGACAAGTGTGTCAACGTTCTTATTTCTACACACAGTGTAACCAAATTGTATAACATTCAATTCGAGATGATTGTCTTTCCCATCGTATCAAAATTCAGAAAATCCAAAAGGCATATGCACTTCCTAGCCAACGATGAAAGTGCCGGTATGCTAATTTGCTATGTATTTTAATTAACTGTAATATTGAAGCATGTGGCAAGTAAAGCCTATCAAGTGCCCCTGTTTGAGATCTCCAATAATTCATATCATTGTAAAGTACATATTATTAACCCCCGTGATGATCCGGGTTAGAATAGGTCTTCAGCAACCCATGCTTGCCATAAAAGGCGACTATGCTTGTCGTAAAACGGGATCGGGTGGTCAGGCTCGCTGACTTGGTTGATGCATGTCATCGTATCCCAATTGCGTGGATCGATGCTCATGATATCAATCACTGGATTGTCTTGTCCAGACTCGATTATTTACAGACCGCCGTCATATAGCTGGAATATTGCTGAGTGCGGCGTTAAACAACAAACCAACCAACCAACATATTATTAACCTACGGATGATAGACATATGACATTCATGTCAGCGTATACATTCATTGAGAATTGAGTTTAATTTACCGATAAAATATCCCGTTGAAGTTATAAGTGTTTTTGACGTCAAAACAACATTGAGAAAAGTGGTTGTGATTAGTTCATGCGCAGACTGTTTCAAAGATTACAACCCGAAAGACAGTTTGGATTATATATCTTGGAGAAATCCCGGTTATGTCAATAAATACTGAGTCAAATTAAAAACTTCACAATTTTATAAAAGTACGCCCATATATGATATACAACGGACAAATGTATCAGAGAAGGTAATTTTTAATCATTAATGTCCAAAGAAGGATTTTAATTAACGGTGGTAACCATAATTTGTTCCAAGCACCTACGGTATTCGGTAATAACATCAACAGTTTAAATCATAAGTCCCAAGCACGAGAATCTGATGGCACACAAGTTCAGTAGCGTGTATGGCCACCATGTGCGTTGACAACTGCCACACAACGCCTCCGGATTGACCTTGTGATGCTTGTGAACACATGATTGGGAAGACAACGCCATTGTTGCTGCAAAATGGTGCCAAGATCTTGCAAATTCTGTGGTTGGTTCTGGAGAGTGCGCAGAGTTCTGCCAAGAGCATCCCAGACGTGTTTGATGGGATTGAGGTCGGGAGACCTTGACGGCCAGTTCTTGACATTGACTCCCGCATTCTGAAGGAAATTCCTTGTCAAAATTGCTGTGTGGGGTCTGGCATTGTCGTGTGGGAAGATCAAACCGGGTCCATGTGCTGCCATAAAAGGCAGAAGTTCTGGCGCCAGTACCTGGTCGCGGTAAGCAGCAGCGTTGAGGTTGCCACGGATGACAAGAAGCCTGGAACGTGCAGTGCCACAGAAAGCACCCCACACCATGACACTGCCGCCTCGAAATCTGTCAACTTCCTGTACATAACACTGGGTGTAACGTTCATGACGGCGCCTCCACACCCTCGCCCTACCATCAGCAAATCGAAGATTAAATCGGGATTCATCACTGCAGACGACTTGATTCCAATTCCTCTGAGTCCATCGTAAGTGTCGCTGTGCCCACAATTGACGTTGACGTCTGTGTAATTGAGTCAGAATCGGCCCGCAGTATGGCCGTCGTGCTTG